CTCTTCGAAGAACATCTAGATCCGCTCACGAAGAGCACCTACCGCGGGAATATCCTCGAGGGTGACGGCGCCGTCTTCCTCTCCTGTCATATCGATGACAAGGATGTATAGCTGTGCGCTATCGTCTACGATAGACAGACCCTGTGTCAGGGTCGACGCCCTGCGTCTTGCAGATAATTAACAACATGCCGGCTTCCCCCTATGGAGGTGGTACGTCTTATCAAGACCAGCACTCAGCGTTGTCCAGTGTCCCTACTTCCTACCCCATCGAAGCCTTGATGTTATTAACAACATCCGACGAAGAGCTGCTATTTACGCAATCTTCATCCAGCGGGTAACTTGCCACTCCACGCGCATCAGAAAGGCCTTGCCCAAGATGCCTCGGACTTCCTCCGACCATGCTACGCATGGCATACAGCAGCTGCTTTGATACTTGAGCAGTGCTCAGTGGGTTCCGTGCCACTCCACGCGCATCACTGGGGCCTTGCTCTCGATGCCTCGGGCCCTCGCCGACTAAGCCAATCTTGGTTTTGCAGCAATTGCTTTTTTACATGAGCAGTACTCAGTGGGTTACGTGCCACTTTACGTTCAGCCCGCGAGCCATGCTCGGGACTCTTGTCCGATACTTATTCGGCGTTCAAAAACTCGAATACTCCGGCATCCAGCACATTGACCGTGCCGGATGAGTTTTCGCATCAACAGCGCTTCTGCTACCTAGCAGAGGTGGGTTCATGACTCACCAAAGCTCCACCAGGAGACGTGTGCGTAGCGCCCAAGATACTCGACCTCCAATCGATCCATGGCTCATGGTGCTCCAATCATGCCATACCAAGGATGAGGGTATACCTTGAATCCAAGTTTAAGCCTATGCAGCGTTCCACGCTATCAAAGTCAAGAAACATGACACTGATATTCACAGGGACCCTCGGTACAGTGACACAAGCCTCCATCGCTGAGCAACCATTGTCGGTGTCACTCAACCGCGCTCTCAGCGCCTCAGCCTACAGCTGACTTCCTTCGATCGTGGACCGTCGAGCATTATTGCACGACGCCTCAGATCGATCAGAATTTTCCAAGGCTTCTAAAGCCCTTCACGGTCACTTTTACGACCAGCAAGCCCGGCTTGCATACACGTTCCGTACGGAGCTCTTCGGGACTGCGCTCTGCTGCCCTCTACCTCCTTGAGGCACAACAGATCTTATTTCTTCCCCAGTAAGGCATCCCACGCCTGCTGGGTGTTATCGTTTCCCGGACAAACCAGACTGGTTAGAAGCGGACGTCGGTCCGATAAACCTTTGCGCGCCTTGCGCAGGGTACAACTAGTCCGAAGGTGAGAGTTGTATCCTCAGACAAAACACTGTCAGTCGGAGCTCTCCCTCCTCTTTCTTGGCATAGCAGAGATCCATTGGCTCAAGCCCGCTCAACGAGTTCTGAGGGTGTGTGTGCATTCCAACCAAGCCGTGCCGACTTAAAGTTGAATTTGGAAGTCAATGCCGTATTTACCGCTACTTCAAACGAAGACAAGTGCACACGGAAGACTCCCATTCTGGCCACGCCAGAGCGGAGGTCCTCAATAACGCGAACACTGTGACCGCCTCCGGAAGAGGATTTGCTGCAATACCGGCAATGAGAGTACGCGATTCTTGTACAAAGTCCACCAATTTCTTCTTGCCCTGTCGGCTGGCAAAAAAACGCGATCGCACGCGATATGCATGGTCAGGCGACAATAACACTTGCTAAAGCTGACGCTTTAGCACCGTCCAGGAGGTCAAAGCCGCTTCGACCGAGATTCCGCACGTCAGTGCCGATTCTCGCACTCGACCACCGAGCTCGGAGATAGCTAGCACCACGCGCTGTTACTCATTCTGGACCATAGCGGACGCCATGACCATCTCGACCTCTCTCACTTAGAGCAGGAGATTCTCTCCATCTTTGCCCTCGAAGGATTTAACACACCAAATAAGCGGCTTGGGACAGGGGGTATAAGCCGTCGTTGGCGGTGGTGTCATGGACGCAGTCGATGCCGACATCTTCTTCCCTATGTGCTTTAGCAGAGCAATTTCATGGCCTTAAACGCCTCTAGGCGCGCGCTGACCATCTTGTGCAACCGACACCATTGTGTAATGACAACATTTCGTGTGACCCACACCCTTCCTACCTGGGCATGTCACAAATAGGATTCGAATCGCCGATATCAGTCCGAATGAATACCATAACATAAAACAGCTTTTTATCGAAATGGTAGGTGTCATGCGATGACGTCTGGAGCAAGTGCAAGGATTTGCAACGCGACATTCCGATACAAGATTCAAGCAAAACATAACAAGATGCAGCGGAAAAAAGGCTGTTGGCCTATCTACATTTGCAGTGTCTGCGATCGACAAGACTAAGTTCTCGATATGAAAACTTAAACTTTTACGGTCACAGCAAAACATGGTTTGAGGTAACCTTCAATCCTGCCAAGGAGAATGCAAACACATCAAGAGCATTCCGTGAACTTTCTATTGCCATGAACATGACCCTGCTTTAATAAGCAGGTTGAATGTCTCTAAATAGAGCGTCATCTCAGCCATCCACTGTAGCTAGGCTTTCTCTGCGTTTGGGTAGTGATACGGTCTGGATCGCTGTAGATATCAGTGCAATGGCATGTCTTCAAGAGCAATAAACGGCTAATGTTGGTACTGGTCGTACACCAGCAGTTTCACATACCGTTTACGTACCACTTTCACCAAGAGAGCTCACGAAAGCTTGCTATGAAAGAGTCGTCCTCAGTCGGCACTGCTGTGTGAGCAAGGGATGACCCACTTCTACGTGACGTATTTAATAGGCGACTAGTTACCTGTATAGTTTCCAGTATTGACATAGTGGAAGGGTTTGAAAGTTTATAGGAGTCAAAATGACAAGATTAACTGGTGCAGTTGACCTCTATGTCGAAGAAGCTTTCTACGTCAGAAAAAAATTAGTGTCGCTTAGCGCAGCGCGCTTTCATCTAAGTATTAGGACACGGCTTGTTTCGAGTTCTTGTTCGAAAGCTATAACTGCTATCTTAGGAGAGGAGCACATCTGTTAGCAGAAACAAGTATGCGATGATGATTCACATCAATACCCACGTCGAGCTGTATTTTAGTAACGCTCATGTGGGGTGTCTGCTTTGCTAGAGCTGATTTATAAAGCTGTGATACGGGCAAGGTAACGCGTCATTCTAGCCCAGTTAGCGAAAGGAGTGCGATAATCTTTTCACTATAGTCGGAATTTAAAACCCAAAGTATATTGTTACGACAGCTCCTGCTCTATTTGCAGGAGTACTTTTGATGAGTTGTAACCTGT